GTATTTTCCCGAACAGAGCCGATCCATGAACGCATGTAATCGGGCAGGAATACGAGCTGGCGTCCCGTAAAATCCTGATAATTCTGTAATGCGAGTTTGAAAATCCGATCGCGGCGGTTGTTGCGTTTCCCGAGCCAGAATATCAACAGGCGCGTCGGGATCTCTTGCGCGAACACGATGTCCGACGTGTGGGCTTTCAAAAATTTCTCGGTGTCCGGTACAATCGTTTTTCTCTGTTCATAATGATGACTTTTTGTAGGATCGATCAACGATTGCTCCCGCTTGCGACGAGAACGCATTTGCCGTATTCCCGTTTGCGGTACGGCATTCCCGGCGAAACGATGCGGACTTCGGGAGCGGTCGCACGAGACCGCCCGGTATCGGTCGGACAAAAGCATACTTTCTCCGTTTTCCGGATCGTAATCCGTTGAGGCTGTTCTGTAGTTCGCTGTGAATGGAAGAAGGGCATAATCATTTGTTTACAGTACGTCCGACGCCGCGATTTCTCCGGATTATTCGTCCTGATCGTACTTTTCGATCCTTGATTTAATAAAATTTATTATAAATATAGTTATAACTACATAACTTTATGATGCAAATATAATTAAAATTCAAGATAATCCAACGGTCCGATATATTTTTATGCAAAGTTCCGGTTATTTTATTTCGATCGAAAAGGAACGGAGGCGAGCCGTTTTGCAATTTTTCGGCAGACCGCCTCTTTTTTCCGGAGGGGTTTATTATATTTGTATCAAATACTGCTATTTGGAACGCCATGCCGGATACTTTTTACTTTTCGCCCTGATCGACCTGAAGCCTTACCTGAGTTTCGGGTACATCGTTTTCGTGATTATCACGATCGCCGTGATCATTCACGACAAGCGCGATCGGTGAAGGCGCTGTCGTGGATCATCGTGATTTCATTGCTGCCGGTCGTCGGATTTATCTTTACATCGTTTTCGGGCGCAACCACCGCAAGCAAAAATTGTTCAGCCGCAAGGAACTGAGCGATCTCGAACAGATCGACACGCTGAGCCGGCAGCAAATCTACGAGATCAACAACGCCGCGGTGCTGCACAAACCGGAGATCAGCGACAACCGCGATATCATTACGCTGCTGCTCAACAGCAACAAGGCGCTGCTGACGGTGCATAACCGGGTGAAGCTGCTGAACGACGGAACGGAGACGTTCGACGAAATCCGCAAGGCGCTGTGGTCGGCCAGTTCGTCGATCCATCTGGAATATTACATCATCGAGGACGATCCGCTGGGCCGCGAGATCGCCGACATTTTGATCGCCAAGGCGCAGCAGGGAGTCGAGGTGAGGCTGATCTACGACGACGTGGGCAGTTGGGGGCTCGGGCGCAAGTACATCGGCCGGCTGCGCAAGGCCGGCGTCCGGGTAGAGTGTTTCATGCAGGTGGTCTTCCCGTGGCTGACCAGTCACGTCAATTACCGGAATCACCGCAAGATCCTGGTTGTGGACGGCAAGATCGGGTTCACGGGCGGGATCAACATCGCCCAGCGGTACGTCACCGGGACGAAAATGGGGCCGTGGCGCGATACCCACCTGCGGCTCGAGGGCGAAGCGGTCGGCATGTTGCAGATCGTATTCATCGCCGACTGGTTTTTCGTCAGCAAGCAGTTGTTGAACGACTATCCGAAATACCTGCCCAAAACGCATGTCAAGGAGGAGACGATGATCCAGATCGCCACGTCCGGACCCGATTCCGACTGGGCGTCGATCATGCAGGCGTTTTCTCGGCCATCACGCATGCGCAGCACCATATCTATATTTCGTCGCCCTATTTCCTTCCGAACGAGGCGATTCTGACGGCGGTCAAAGTGGCTGCGCTGAGCGGGATCGACGTGCGGATCATGATCCCGAGCCGTTCCGATTCGAAGGTGGTTTACTGGGCCTCCCGCTCGTACATCGGCGAACTGATCGACGCCAACGTGAAGGTGTACCTGTACCGCCGGGGATTCAACCATTCGAAGCTGATTATGATCGACGGGCAGTTCAGTTCGGTCGGCACGGCCAATATGGACATCCGCAGTTTCGAAGACAATTTCGAAGTGTCGGCGTTGCTGTACGACCGGAAGATCACGCAGGAGCTGGAAGCGGAGTTCCTGCACGACCTCGATCAGAGCCGCATGGTAACGCGCGACTACTGGGAGAGTCGTCCCGCGCTGCATAGTTTTTACGAAGCGTTGTCGCGGTTGTTCAGCCCGTTGCTGTAGTTATTCGGAACGTTCGATCCGAGAGCCCCATTCCAATTCCATCCGTCTGATATAGTCCGACAGCGGCGAAAATCCAGCTGATTTTCGCCACCGGTCAACTCGGGCCGGATCCTTGAGCGGGGCGATGCGTTGGATACCGTTTTCATCTGTGATGATTTGGGAACCGTATTTTTGTTTCCGTCCTTCGGAAACGGCGATGCGGTCTTCTAGCATACCGAGCTGTACCCCGGAAATATCCTTCCGTTTCGCGGCTTTGCGCGCCAGGGACAGGTATCTTTTCTGGATATCCGTGCTGGCATGTTGGAGGACGATGAAGAAGGCCTTCGTCGCATTGCCCACTTTGTCTTTGCCGACCCATCCCTGGGTATCGAGTATCCGAATGATTTTGCTTTGATTCAGGCTATCAGTGATTCGCATCTCCCGGGCGAGACTATCCGCTTTTTGGGGATCGGGATGTAGCGGATTGCGGGCTTCGATAAATTCTCTTCTGATCCGTTGGTCTTCGTTGAAAATTTCCAGCAGCTCCTTTCGTAATGGTTTGTCGAAATTCGCTTCAGCCTTCGCTCTACGTTTTTCCATTGTTTCGATCAGCGTTTTCCAACGTTCGTCTCGATGCAGCGAGACCAGGTACGGGTCATCCTGCATCCGCACGGAGTACCACCGTTTGTTTTCGGATAGTAGCCGGTTCAACCGCTCGAAAGCGGTTGCCGTATCTCCGACCAGGGCAGCGGCGCAGGCTCCGTTATAAAAATCCTTGTTTTGCCTCTGTTTCGTAGAAAGGATCCGTTCGAAAATTTCGCTGGAAGATTGATAATTTCCGGATAGAAACAAAGAATCAGCCCGGCGCTGCAAAACTTCGTAAGGTTCGCAGCCGGTTGGTTGCCCGGCTGCAATGCATCGGGTCGTCAGGACGCCCAGTAAAATCAATAACTTTTTTTCATCGGTCGATCCGGTTTGATGGTGTTTCCAAATTTACGATTTTTATTCCGGATTTCGTTATCGGATGCGGAAAATTCCGATTTGTTGAAAAGACTGTTTTCGTCGTATTTTCGACGGTTATTTCTCATTGTCGGAATAAATTGAAAAAAGTTCCTGAAATTTTTTCTACCTTTGAAATGTTTAACGGTGTAAATATGCAATCTATGAAGAAAAGGTGTTTGCTCACGACTGCGATCGCATTGATTTTATGCGGAATAACGAACAATGCCGGGGCCAAAGGCCCGATTCGTTTCGGGATCAAGGCCGGTATCCAGAGCCAGAGTCTTCACGCTTCGAAAGACGAGGTGCTCGGCGTGTTTTCGGCCGATAAGGATTTCGGTTATCAGTTCGGCTTCGTGGCCAGGATCAATTTTCCGATGTTGTATATACAACCGGAGTTGAACTATGCCAAGCATCGCTTTACGATGGATATGGAGGACGGCGCCACGACGAAGGTAAAAGTGAACAACATTGAGCTGCCGATCCTCGTGGGGTGGAAAATCGCATTTGTGCGGTTGTTTGCCGGCCCCGTTTTCACGCTGATGAACGATACCGGCAACAAGTTGAAAAATACTTCGGCGGCGATCAATACCGAACTCGCAAAATCGTTGGTCGGTTATCAACTGGGCGGCGGCGTCGAATTCGGGCGCGTCAACGTGGATATGCGTTACGGCGGCCAGTTCAAAAAGCCGGAGCTCACCGTGGTCAAGGGCGAGCAGCAGGCCCGCACTTACAAGACGAGCATGAATCAGTGGCAGTTGAACATTAGCTACCTGTTCTAAATCCTGTACGCGGATGACCGAAAAAGTAATTCTTCTCGAAGGGATCGACCCGGTGGAGTTTTACGGCCTCGCCGATGCCAACATCGAAAAAATCGGCGGTAAATTTCCGAAACTGAAAATCGTGGCGCGCGGTTCCGCCATCAAGGTGATGGGGGAGGAGAGCGAGATCGTGCGGTTCGACAAGAAGCTTGCCGAACTGCTGGCTTATTACGAGCGTTACGGCCATATATCCCCGCAGGTGATCGACCAGATTTACGACGGGGGACTCTCTGCGGTGCAGGACGATCCGGAAGACCAGCATGTGATCGTCTACGGCAACAACGGCCTGGTCGTCCGGGCGCGCACCGTCAACCAGGAGCGCCTGCTGAACCTGTACGACCGCAACGACCTGATTTTCGCCATCGGCCCGGCCGGTTCGGGCAAGACTTATACGGCGATCGCGCTGGCGGTTCGGGCGCTGAAGAACCGCGAAGTGAAACGCATCATTCTGACGCGTCCCGCCGTGGAAGCCGGCGAAAAGCTCGGTTTTCTGCCCGGCGACATGAAGGAGAAACTCGATCCTTACTTACAGCCGCTGTACGATGCGTTGAACGACATGATTCCGGCAGCGAAACTCGGTAAATACGTGGAAGACGGCACGGTGCAGATTGCGCCGTTGGCCTATATGCGCGGGCGGACGCTCGACAACGCTTTCGTCATCCTGGACGAAGCGCAGAATACGACGGTCGCCCAGATCAAAATGTTCCTGACCCGCATGGGGCGCAACGCCCGGTTTATCGTTACCGGCGACATCACGCAGATCGACCTGCCGCGGCGTAGCGATTCGGGTCTGATGCCCGTTGTGGAGATGCTGAAAGGGATCGACGGTATCGGGATCGTCGCATTCGACAACCGCGACATCATCCGTCACCGGCTGGTAAAGCACATCGTGGAAGCCTTCGAACGACATGCCGGCAACTCCGAGAAAGAATGACTCGAAACATATAAATCGAAACAAACATGACAAAAGCAATCGTAAAAACCGATTTCCGGTTTGACGGGCAGAAGAGCCTGTATGAAGGAAAGGTACGTGATGTCTACAATATCGACGACCAGTATTTGGTGATGGTCGTGAGCGACCGGATTTCGGCGTTCGACGTCGTCCTGCCGAAAGGGATTCCCTACAAAGGACAGGTGCTGAACCAGATCGCGTCGAAATTTCTCGACGCCACGTCCGATATCTGCCCGAACTGGAAAATCGCTTCGCCCGATCCGATGGTGACGGTCGGTTACCGCTGCGACTCGTTTCCGGTCGAGATGATCGTGCGCGCTTACCTGACCGGCAGTTCGTGGCGGGATTACAAAGCCGGCGCCCGGGAGATCTGCGGCGTGCCCATTCCGGACGGAATGCGCGAACACCAGCGTTTCCCGCACCCGATCGTCACGCCGACGACCAAGGCCGAGATCGGCGAGCACGATCAGAATATTTCGAAAGAGGAGATCATCGCCAAAGGACTGGTTTCGAAGGCCGATTACGAAATGCTCGAAAAATACGCGTTGGCGTTGTTCGATCGCGGAAGCAAGATGGCTGCCGAGCGCGGCCTGATCCTGGTCGATACGAAGTACGAATTCGGCAAGAAGGACGGCGAGATCTACCTGATCGACGAGATTCATACGCCGGACAGTTCGCGCTATTTCTATGCCGACGGTTACGAGGAACGTTTTGCGAAAGGCGAGCCGCAGCGTCAGTTGTCGAAGGAGTTTGTCCGCGAATGGCTGATGGACCACGGTTTCCAGGGGAAGCCCGGACAGCAGGTTCCGCAGATGACCGACCAGTTCATCGGGAGCGTCAGCGACCGGTACATCGAGCTGTACGAGAAGATCACCGGCGAGCAATTCGTCAAGGACGAAGCGGCCGATATCACTTCGCGGATCGAAAATAATGTAAAGAACATGCTGGCACGGCTGCGCTGAGGTTTGTTCGGAGAGCTTAGATAAAACGGGTTTTTATGAATACGAATCTGGATGGGCTTTCGCCCCGCGAGGTGTGGGAAAAATTCGCCGAGATCGCTCGTGTGCCGCGTCCGTCGCGGCACGAGGAGGCGATTCGGGCGTATCTGGTCGCCGAAGCGCGGACGCACGGCATCGCCTGTACGGTCGACGATGCCGGGAACGTGATCCTGCGCAAACCGGCTACGCCGGGCATGGAGTCCCGCAAGGGGATCATTCTGCAGGCGCACATGGACATGGTTCCGCAGAAAAACGGCGACAAGCGGTTCGATTTTACGAAAGATCCCATCGAAGTCCGTGTCGACGGCGAATGGGTAAGGGCCGACGGAACGACGCTCGGAGCCGACAACGGGATCGGAGTTGCTGCGATTTTGGCCGTTATGGAGTCTGAGGACGTCGTGCACGGGCCGTTGGAAGCGCTGATCACCGCGACCGAGGAGACCGGCATGGACGGGGCCCGCGGTCTGAAAGGCGGAATGCTCGACGGCGAGATACTGGTTAACCTGGATTCCGAGACGGAGGGCGAACTGTATGTCGGATGCGCTGGCGGTTTGGATGCTTCGGTGCGCATGACGTATCGTGAAGATATTGTTCCTGAAGGATATAAGGCTTTCTGGATTGCGGTAGGCGGTTTGAAAGGTGGACATTCGGGCATCGATATCCATCTGGGACGCGGCAATGCGAATCGGATTTTGTTCCGGCTGTTGAGAAAGTGCGAGCGGGAGTGCGGCTTGCGGTTGGCGTCGGTCGACGGCGGCGGCCTGCGCAATGCCATTCCGCGTGAGGCGACGGCGACGGTTGTCGTTCCGGACGCTGTCTCGGATGTTTTTCGGACGCTGGCCGCCGGTCTCGAATCGGTGTTGAAAGAGGAGTTCCGGGGCGTCGACGATGCGGTGACCGTTCGGATTACGGATGCCCGGCGGCCCGATTCGCTGATCGACCCGCAATCGCAACGGCAATTGATCCGGGCCGTACGCGGATGTCCCGACGGCGTAATCCGGATGAATCCGTCGATGCCGGGGCTGGTACAGACTTCGTCCAACCTGGCCCGGGTCACCGCCGGAAGCGGGGAGATTCTGGTGCACTGCCTGTTACGCAGCTCGCTCGATAGCGAAAAGGCCGATCTGGGCGACCGGATCGCCGGGGTATTCGAACTCGCGGGAGCAGAAGTCGCGCTCGAGGGCGGTTACGACGGCTGGAATCCGAATCCGGATTCGCCGATTCTGCATACGATGATCGCGTCGTACGAGTCGCTGTTCGGTCGCCGACCGGTCGTTACGGCCATCCATGCCGGACTGGAGTGCGGGATCATCGGTACGAATTACCCTGCGCTGGATATGATTTCGTTCGGCCCGACGATCCTGCACCCGCATTCGCCCGACGAAAAAGTGAACGTCGCGTCGGTCGGCCGTTTCTGGCAGTATCTGCTGGCCACGCTCCGCAATGTACCGTTCAGATCGTAAAGGTTATGGAGACGTTCGATAAATGGTTTGCCATCGTCAATCCCGTCGCCGGAAGCGGCAAGGGACTGAGCGACTGGCCGCTGATCAGCAAGTTATTGCGCGATCACCACATCGTGCCGGAGTATGCGTTCACCGAACGCAAGTACCATGCGATCGAACTGGCCGTCGAGGCGGTCAACAACGGTTTCCGCAAGATCATGGTGGTCGGCGGCGACGGGACGATCCACGAGGTGGTCAACGGCCTGTTTATTCAAAAGGCGGTTCCTACGACCGAGGTGCTGGTAGGCGTGATCGCCGTCGGTACCGGCAACGACTGGATCCGGATGTTCGGGATTCCGCGCAAATATTCCGAAGCGATCCGGGCGATCGTCGAAGGACACTCTTTTTTGCAGGACGTCGGCGTGGTTTCGTACCACAAGGCGACTTACAAGCAGGAGCGTTATATGGCCAACGTGGCCGGGGTGGGCTTCGACGCCGTCGTGAACCGTCGTTACAACCACCTGAAAGAGGAAGGGAAGCGGGGTAAATGGCTGTATCTGTGGAGCACGCTGAAAGCCCTGCTGCGCTACTCTTCGACCGGCGTCAAGGTGTATGTCGACGATGAATTGGTCGTTAACGACTTGGTTTACAGCGCTACGATCGGGATCGGCAGGTACAACGGCGGCGGGATGTTACAAACGCCGGACGCCGTGGCCGACGACGGGTTGTTCGACCTGACCGTGATTCGCAAAATGAGCTGGCTCTCGGTGCTGTTCCATTTCAAGGTGCTGTTCAACGGGAAAATTTACAGGTTGAGCAAGACGAGCCTGAACCGGGGAAGGCGCATCCGGATCGAGTCGTCGCCCGAGATCGCGCTGGAGGTTGACGGCGAAGCGCTCGGATATTCGCCGTTCGAGTTCGAGATCATCGACCGCGCCGTCCGGGTGGTCGTGGCCAAACGCTTCCTGGAAGAAGGAAGCGCCGGCAAGTCCGTTGCGGATAGAATTTTGGAAAATAAAAAATAAAACGATATTTTTACGAACTAACCTTAACAAAACCAAAATGAAAAAAAATCAACTTTTATCACTGGTTTGCGCGGCGTTGTTTTTTATGGGCTGCGGTGAAAAACCGGCGGGCGTCGTCGATTTGACTGTCGAGTTGCAGGAGAACCCTATCGGGCTCGACGAGCAGCATCCCCGTTTCGGATGGCGGATCGAATCCGATCAGGACGACGTGATGCAGACTTCCTATCGGATCATGGTGGCTCCTACGAAGACCGATCTCGACAAAGCGGAAAATCTGGTGTGGGATTCGGGCGTCGTTTCGTCCGACCAGTCTACGTTCGTTCCTTACGCGGGATCTCAGCTCGAATCCCGCAAGGATTACTACTGGAAGGTGCTGATTACCACCAATAAGGGCGACTCGCTGTGGAGCGATGCCGCGCAGTGGTCGATGGCGCTGCTCGATGACGGCGACTGGCAGGCGCAGTGGATCGGGATCGACAGTTCGCTGAACGCGACGGATCGCCTGACCGGCGACAGCCGTCTGGCCGCCCGTTACCTGCGCAAGGAATTCCCGGTGGAAGGGAACGTCGCTTCGGCGCGTTTATACATTAGCGGACTGGGCTTTTACGAATGCTACCTGAACGGCCGCAAGATCAACGAGGACATCTTCGCACCGACGGCTACCGACTATACGAAGTCGGTCAACTACAATGTTTTCGACGTGATGGAGTCCTGAAGGACAAGCAGAATACGATCGGGGTGATCCTCGGCAACGGGCGCTATTTCTCGATGCGTCTGGGCGATCCTTCTGCCGGTTTGCTCGGTTCGCTGCGTCAGTTCGGCTACCCGAAGCTGCTGGCACAACTGGAATCACTTATAAAGACGGTTCGAAAACGGTCGTAGTCAGCGACGACAGTTGGAAACTGACCACCAACGGCCCGATCATCGCCAACAACGAATTCGACGGCGAGGAGTATAACGCCAATTATGAGATGAAGGGCTGGAACGAAAACGGCTTCGACGACAGCGCGTGGATGCAGGCCCGGAAGGTAGGCGCTCCGGGAGGCGAATTGGTCGCTCAGCGCAATCCGAACATCATGACGATGGATACGGTGGACCCGGTTTCGATCAACCAGTTGAACGACAGTACCTACATCGTCGATATGGGGCAGAATCTGGTCGGATGGCTGGCCGTAACGCTGAAAGGGCAGAAGGACAAGCCGATCAAGATGCGTTTCTCCGAAACGCTGAAGGACGACGGCAGCCTGTATATGGACAACCTGCGCGGCGCGCACGTGACCGACATCTATACGCCTGCGTCGGACGGCCTGTTTAGCTGGGAACCCCGTTTCACCTATCACGGGTTCCGTTTCGTAGAGATTACCGGACTGAACTACAAGCCCGAGTTGAAAAATTTCAAAGGGAAAGTCAATTACGACCGGATGGAAACGGTCGGTTCGTTCGAGTCGTCCGATTCGACGATCAACCAGATTTACCACAATGCGTTCTGGGGTATTCGCGGCAATTACCGCAGTATGCCGACCGACTGTCCGCAGCGCGACGAGCGTATGGGATGGCTCGGCGACCGCGCGATGGGTTGCATCGGCGAAAGTTTCATGTTCCGTCATGCGCTGCTTTACGAAAAGTGGCTGAAGGATATCGAACAGATCCAGAGCGAAAACGGTTGCGTGCCCGACGTGGCTCCGGCTTTCTGGACGTTCGACCAGCACTCCGGCAACGTAACCTGGCCCGCCGCTTACATTTGCGTGGCCGATATGTTGTACAACCAGTACGGCGACAGCCGCCCGATCAAGGAGCATTACGCTTCGATGAAAAAGTGGATGGATTTCATCCGCGACACGCAGATGAAGGATAATGTCGTTATCAACGACGTGTACGGCGACTGGTGTAGCCTCCCGAAAGCCAGGAACTGATCCACTCGGCCGATCCGGCCCGCAAAACCGACGGCCGCCTGCTCGCGACCAGTTTCTACTACCGTTTGTTGAACATTATGAGCAAATTCGCCGCAATCAGCGGCAACGAGGCCGATATTCCGGCTTACCAGGAGCTCGCCGCCAATATTAAGAGCGCTTATAACCAGATGTTCTTGAATGCCGAAACCGGTCAGTACGCCAACAACACGGTGACGGCCAACATCCTGTCGCTGATGCAAGATCTGACCCCCGATTCGTTGCAGGGCAAGGTGTTCGAAAATATCGTGGAAAAAACCCAGGGCGAATTCGACAGCCATGTCAGCACCGGCCTGATCGGAATCCAGTTCCTGATGCGCGGCCTGACCGAGCACGGCAAGGGCGACCTGGCTTACACGATCGCTACGAACCGTACCTATCCGAGTTGGGGTTATATGATCGACAAGGGCGCCACGACGATCTGGGAATTGTGGAACGGCGATACGGCCGATCCGGCGATGAACTCGGGCAACCACGTGATGTTGCTGGGCGACCTGATGACGTGGTATTACGAGAACCTGGCCGGGATCAAGAGCGATCCGCAGCAGGTCGGTTTCAAGAAAATCGTTATGGCTCCCTATTTCCCCGACGGGCTCGATTGGGTGAACGCGTCGTACGAATCGCTGTACGGCCCGATCGAAAGCAATTGAAGAAGGGTGAGAACGGACTTTCGTGGAAAGTCGTAATTCCTGCCAATACGACGGCCAGCATCCGCATCCCGCCGCATCGGCCGATAAGGTCACCGAAAGCGGCAAGCCGCTGTTGCAGAATCCAGCGGTGAAGTCCGTCAATGCGGCCGACGGTTTCGTGGTGGTCGAAGCGGGATCGGGAACTTTCGATTTCCTGGCCGGGAAATAAGCTTACGTACCGAAAAAACAAAAGACCCCGCCCGATCGAACGGCGGGGTTTTTTGTAAGCCGGCTTTTCCGTTTGGACGGTCGAATGCGTAACGACCGGAATGCGCGGGAATGGGGACAGGCTAAAATAAATGCCCTGCGAACAACAAAAATCTGTTTTTTGTGTTATATTTGCAAGACGAACGGGCTTTCGGGAAACGCGAATCGGGGCCCGGACCGCAATAACCTGAGTGTGAAACCTAATATGTAAATTATGCTTAACTTACCTTTGTTGATAATGGGTGTGATCGGGCCGTGGCAGCTTTTAGTGATCGTGGCGCTGGTCGTTATTTTCTTCGGTGGCAAGAAAATTCCCGAACTGATGCGTGGCATGGGACGCGGTATCAAGGAGTTCAAGGACGCTATTAACAAGGATTATACGGCCGAAGCTCCCAAGAACGAGACGACGGCTCCCTCTGCGCCCGCTGCAAAACCGACCGACGAGACTACCAAGAATTAGAATCTTGCAGGATACGGCAGGGGCCCGGGCCTTTGCGCGGTTCTACGGAACCGCGAATGTGTATCGTATGCTAACCGTTTGAATATTATGACCGATAAACAGGAAAAGTCATCCGATAACGAGATGACTTTTTTTGAACATATCGATGCTTTGCGTCCCCATTTGGTGCGTGGTTTTTCGGCGTTGTTCATCATCATGATCGTCGCATTCGTCGCCAAGAAGTTTATCATCGATATGGTGCTGATGGGGCCTCAGTCCCCCGACTTTCCGACCAACCGCTGGCTGTGCGAGTTATCGCACCGGCTGTTCGGCGACGACACCTTGTGTATCAACCATATCAAACTGAATATGGTGAATACGGCGCTCGGCGGGCAGTTCAACCTGCATATGCAGGTGTCGATGGTGACGGGCGTCGTACTGGCGGTTCCCTACCTGCTGTGGGAAATCTGGCGCTTCGTGGCTCCGGCCCTGACCAGCTACGAACGTTACAAAAGCCGGATGTTCGTGTTCTACGTTTCGGTGTGCTTCTTTTGCGGACTGTTGTTCGGCTATTTTCTGATCGTTCCGCTGTCGATCAATTTTTTCGCCGGTTATCAGGCCAGCGCCGATATTACGAACATGATCGACGTGCGCTCGTACCTGACTACCGTACTGACCGTGTCGGTGGCGTGCGCCGCAGTGTTCCAACTGCCGTTGCTGATCTATTACCTGACGCAGATGGGTATCGTGACGGCCGCTTTCCTACGAAAATACCGCCGACATGCGATCATCCTGCTGACCATCGTTTCGGCGGTAATCACGCCGCCCGACCTGTTCAGCCTGGTGCTGGTAATTCTGCCGCTCTATTCGCTGTATGAGCTGAGTATATTCCTCGCCCGCCATGTCGAACGGAAAAGGCGAAAGAGGAGGCTGCGAACGGTTATCCGGTGGACGTGCCGCAGGAAGACCTGGAAGAATAACCGCTTTCGTTATAAAATAACGAAGAGGAGCGCATTCCCATGCGCTCCTCTTTTGTTATACCGGAAAAAGATTATTCTGAATCGCCGGACGTTTCCGAATCGTCGTCGAGGTAAATCTCTCCCATCAGCGAATCGATCTCCCGGCGTTCGCGTTTGGTGGGGCGGCCGGTTCCCCGGTCGCGCTGTACGAAAACGGTCAGTTTCGGGATGTGCAACTTGTCCAGTTCCGCCTGGGACGTCAGATTTTCGACGTAATCGGGCACATTCTTGGCCGGTTGCCGCGAAGAGACCATCGCCGCGACGCGGTATGTGTAAGTGACCGGCATCTTCTTTACGGTCACCGTATCTCCGACTTTGATCTCCCGCGAAGGCTTTACGAAAGCTCCGTTGATCAATACCCGGTTCGTGCGGCACGCATCCGCCGCATCGCTGCGGGTCTTGAAGATCCGCACGGCCCACAGCCATTTGTCAACTCTTACCGAGAAATCTTCGCCCATCGTTTTGTCTTATTTGTTGTTGAATGCGTTCATCGTTCGTTCGAGTCCGGCCGTTGCGAACGACCGGATGACCTCTCCGGCCATATCGAGCCGTTCGGGCAGGGCGTCGGCCTCCTCTTTTGTCCAGGTGCCGAGGACGTAGTCCACCTGAAACCCTTTCGGAAAGTCTCCGCCGATCCCGAAACGCAGCCGGGCGTAGTTGTTGTGCCCGAGCGATTCCGCGATGTTTTTCAGTCCGT